GCTTGTCAAGCCATGCTGTGGCGGCGTCCCATATAGAGTGGAGGAAGATGGGCATGGATGTTAGCCCAGGGCCAGTCTTCCTCAGCAAAAAGAGGAGGATTGGCAGATGTTAGCTCAGGGCCAATCTTCCTCATAAAAAAAAAAAAGAAGAAGAAGCCAGGAGACCCTGTCTGTTTTCACACAGGAAAGATGTGTAATTTCTTCCTCTCTCCCCAGTCCTCCCCTCAGTCTCTGAGGGCCTTCTCTGGGACTTGTAGAACGGTCTAACCACTGGACTGTTTCAGAATTTTCAAAAGTATGGTTAACTTTTGATTGTCTGGATTTCTAAGAGGTTAGGGGTTGTGATTCATAGTAAGAACTAGTTTCTTCATAATCTGAGAGCAATATGATTTCAGAGCAGCTTCTGAAAATATTACTCGAGCTGATTTGAATTGCACAGAAGCAGAGCTGGAAGGCACACTTTGGAAGGAGTCCTAGGGTAGTTGAATTCAGATGCTTCTTTTCTCCCAGGGACAAGAATGTCAGTGTCTGTGCTTATGTTCTTATGAGGCCTGCTTTACATATGATTTCTTTTTAACTCCCAACATGTGTTTACAGGACTCCATAAAGTTATCTGGCTGAGGGTTATTAGAGTCTTTTGTCACTGAACAAGAATCCTTGCTTTACAGCAACAACTATGCCTATGCAAATAAATTTTTTAAATGACGTGATTAACATGGACGTGGTGTGGAGTTTTTTTTGGTTAAAAAAATGTTTTTTATTTGTCCTCTTCAGGTTCCAGTGGAATACCTGTGAAGCTGGCCACAAATCTCTTTAATTTAGATTTGCCCCAGGACTGGCAGCTGTACCAGTATCATGTGACATATATTCCAGATTTAGAATCTCGAAGGCTGAGAATTGCTTTGCTTTATAGTCATAGGGAACTTTCCAACAAAGCAAAAGCATTCGACGGTGTCATCCTTTTTCTCTCACAAAAGCTAGAAGAAAAGGTATAGTATGGTTACTTTTTATATGCACAAGTGTATGCATATATTTATACTCATCCATATATATTTAAGAAGTTAGCTGATTTTCATGACAGTTGGAATAAGCGTTTTGCTCATTCTTGTCCTCTTTCCTGTTCCCATGCCCGCGAGAAAAAAGACTTCCTAATTAAGACCTCATCAGTATTGATTTCTTAATTAAGAAGCTGATGGTCTGGCATTGTAAAAATAAGATCTGTAGTACAAACACTGCTTTTTCAACTACTATTTTTTTTTAGGCAAAGTGTCCTTGAAATAGACATCCTTTTTAAACTTTTCCCAAAATAGGCAAGACATTAAGGAACACCATTTAGCCTGTGGCTTCAAAGCTTTAAATTTACTCTCCTTTTCTTGCCCCTGCACAATTGTGCCTGAGTGTACAAGTAACTTTACCTCAGTCTCTGACTCTGAAACTGTCATTTCTTTTATGAGCTGTTCCACTATATGAAATATGAGTTATTGATATCAGTCTTAAGGATATTTTTTAGTGGTGCGGCCATTGAATATGGCAATTTCATGATTCATATTCCTTTATCCATTTTTTTACACCTTCAACATTTTCAGTCCTAAAATAAAGATATTGGTATTGATGTTTTTATCATATTCTTTCTTCTAAAGCAATATTAAAATTACTAGAAGGAAAAAAGAACCAGTTTCTGTATGAAAAATTAAAACAGAGCATTGGATTAAAACTTGATGCCTGTCCCTTGGAAAGCTTAATCATTAGTTCAACATTTTGAACAGGATGGTACCAATAGCATAAATGCAGATTTCTAGACTCCACATAAATCTCTGTGAATTCCTCAAGAAATGCATTTCTGAACACTCTTGGGGACTTTATCCTTTTATGAGACCTTTATAGGCCCTACTTGAGTGATTATTTCATCTGGATATGGAACTTTAAAATTATACTACAGGATTAAATTTAAAGGCATGGAAAATCTAGATCTGTAAATTTAGACACATTTTTATTGATCATTTATTGATTATTAAGTCCTTATTGATCCCTCAGTATTTTGTCCTATGACCAGATGTTGATAGCATGCTAATATGGCCTCTCGTGCTTAGATGATATATTTCAAGTGTATTGTTATCATTTAAGATCCTCTTGTTCTTGTAGATAAATCTGTAGTAACAATTTGGAAATTTTGATATATTGAAATTGTTATGATGTACCTCCCTTGAATGGCCCAGCTTCCTTCAATTGTACCTAATCAAAGTGAAGTTGTACTCTACAGATGCTAGGAATAAGTTAATATTACTCACTTCTCATTCAAAATGAGCATGTAGTATGTACCACACACCTTATTGTTGGGGCTGGAATCTGATGAGGAGGCAGGTAAATAAATAGATAGTAAAAACATGGTGTGACAAAGGCCAGTTGATTTCGTTTCCCAGGCACAGTTGATGCTAGGTCTAGATGGAATAGTGTTGTCTTATTCCTTATTAACATATGAATGACCTGTCACCCAGTGACAGTGAAAAAGAAATGGTAAAAAGAAATAGTGTCCTAATGAAGATATTGCCATTGTCACCTTTTTATTCTGGTCTTAATATTGACTAAGGCTTAGTCCTGCACTCCCATGCATCCCGTACACACTTCACAGGTTGCTTATCGTAGTTGAAAGAGGTTTTCCACTATTTCTTGTACTTGTAAATAGTGCAGCTCTAGAAGTTCTGTTCTGCTGCCTCCTGGCCTTCCTCTGTCTTCCAGACCCCATCTGTGCATCTGTGGCCATGACCTGGATTACTATCACTGGTCACATCCATTTGCCACTCTTATGCATTCATTCTACAAGTATAAAGAGCCTACTGTGTACCTGGCAGGATGATGCCACCATGGAGGAGACAAGGATAAATAAAACAAGGTTCTTGTTATCAAAAAAATTTCAATTTAGAACCGAAGTTGTGCAGCGCAAGGGAGAGTGAAATAAGTGCCATAATAGTACTCAGTAGTTTTATTATGCTAACATTCACTGAGCACTTACTAGGTGTTAGGTGCTGTGCTTGGTTGTCCTCTGGATTAGCCCCAGCACATCTCTCTTGAGATGAGCAGATCTATACTTTATGTCCCACCTACCACCACTGCTACTATTATCCTACCAGATTACACTTGTTGAGCACTCATTCTGCCAGGGTCTTTATATGCATGATCTCATTTAATCCTCTCATCACCCCTGGGGCCTTAGAGAAGTTAAGTATCTTGCCCAAGGTTTTCATACAGAGCTTGATGAAAGGAAAGATCCTTCCCAGCAGGATACTTCAGCGGGAGTGATAATTCATTTCTTGGATAGCATTTAGATCAATGAAGGGGGTGGCGATGGGGTCAGGGGAGATTACTAAACAGGACTGGAAGGAGCAAAGGCACAAGGATAGGGAGTGAGGGGCATATTTTAGAAGCTTCTGCTCATTCCTGCTTAGCCGGGAATGAATGGAAGTTGTGGCTTCAAAGGTGGAGAACTTTAAATGTCCTGCTGAGGAATAGGGACTGTCCTCCAAGAACCACTGACGCCTTTGGTAGCTGGTTTAATTACGGTTACTCTGATTACATCCTGTTGAGTGGTTGACAGGAGAAAGTGGAAAGATTAATAAAGTGCCACTGGAATAGTCTGGGCAGGATTTCAAAAGGGCTTGAACAAAGTGCTGCTACAGATAGGGATGAGATCCTTGAATTATCTCATTTAATCTTCACAACTCGCTCCCACTTTAGAGATGGGGAATGGTCTTCAAGAGTTGAAGTAACTTGCTCCATATCACACAGGCTGCAGGAGCCAGGGGCCAGGGTCTGTCCAATTTCAAATCACGTGCTCGTAAGCTCTGTGGTAAATAATGGTATTGGAACAGCTGAAATAGATTATAGAGACATTGCTGGCATAGAAGTGCTGACACTTGCCAACCGATTAGCTGGTCGATGGAGGAGAACTGAAGGCTCAGTCTGAGGAAGGCACGGGAAGTGAGGAGGAGTTGGTGTTTGGTGGGGAGGTGCAGGAGACGCTGATGAGTTTGCTCTTAGGTGGCTGTTAGGAATGCAGTTCCTGCATAGAGGTCTGAGCATGGACCATGTGCTGCCCGCTCGCACCCCCGACCCCCTACTCCAACCGCCTTTGTTGTCTTAGCCTTTGTCCTGAAATCCCTGCAGCAGTTTGAGAGCCCCCCGTCTCTCCTGCCTGCTAGCCTTCTCCCAGAAGTTGAGGAGCTCTTGCTCTAGCTCTCCACTTCTGACTTCTACACAATTTTATCTGAAGCCGGAAATCACCTCAATGAAATATTTCATCCCCTGTGAAAGGACCCTTTTTTCTTCATTTCCCTGCAATGAGCCATTCCTGCTCTACATTCTTGGTTCAGCCTAAAAGTGGTTAAAGCTACAATTTAACTATAGAAAGAAGGGGTAAAATACATAAATGCTTGCTAATGAACTGACCTCTTCTAATTCCTTACATTTTGAAAAATCCTTGATCATTGATTTTTATTGACTGATTTGTTCATTTATTCCAAAAATCTGTACCAAGCCGTGTCTGGTCTAAGGAGCTTTAAATTTAGTTGGGCAGCTGGTATAGCAAGAATTTGCTATACCAGCTATTTTTGCATTCATTATATTGTTAGAACATTGTTCCAGATTATAAGAACCTTAGGGATTTCTCTGGACCTTTCAAAAATTAATTAAATCAGATTTCTGATCTGTTTAAACTTCTAGCATTTTCTCCTCTCTCTCCCCACATATACTTTCCCTTCTCCTTTGCTTTCTTCCTCTCTTCTTCTCAGCTCTTCTGTTTTATGAATAAACTTTTGAGAGGCTGTATTCTGAAATCCATGAACCCGGGATGGGCAGGACAGTCCACTAATAGGCTTCTGGATATCCATGAACTCCCTGAAAATGGGTACCTTCTGTGTGTCATTGTGGTATAAACATATGTGAAATTTTCTTGGGAGAATGTCTATAACTTTTATCAGACTCTTAAAACAATTTGTCTCCCATCCCCTTCTCCCCCCCAAAAAAGTCAAGAACCACTACTCTGGAATTCTCTTTGGACTGAATCTTTGAACACTGAGTCTGGTTTTGATTCTCCGTTAAGAAGTTAGAGAGTAGAGAGATGTGTTGCTTTTCTAGTGTTAGCAAGACACAGAGAAAAAATCCCCTCCAAACATAATGTGTTGATTAGATTATTACTCACGTACTAACACCTGCAGTTTTGTTTTTGTTAATGCATATTAAATTGTGATGGCTTCACCATATCTACATTTTGCACACTTGGAGATAATGTGTAGCGTGCATATTAAGTACTTCTTTTCCCAGGTCACAGAATTGTCAAGTGAAACTCAAAGAGGTGAGACTGTAAAGATGACCATCACTCTGACAAGGGAGCTGCCAGCAAGTTCTCCCGTGTGCATCCAGGTCTTCAGTATAATCTTCAAAAAGTAAGATGCCTTAAATGTGAATTTAATTTAGGCTAATGATGCCTTTCAGCAATGAGCCTGGGTATTAACATTATCAACCATTTTGTAGGCAGTGTGCCAGAAACAATGTCATCTTTAGGGCAATTTTCCATGTACTTGCATGTACTTGTGCAATAATGTGCATCACAGACCATCACAGCCTCTAACTGGTACCAGTCATTGTTATCCAGTATTATTTGAGTTGAGACAAAGGAATCAAGGGTTGTGGTATCTCAGTGGTAGCAGAGAGGGTGCCTTTTTCCTTCTCTTCTTTTTCTGTACCCCCTCCCACCCTCCACTCCCAGACTTAAAAGTTGAGTACGTCTGGGCTAGTGAACCGAAGGATTTGTTCTTCTCCTAGCTATTGTATTTTAAGGGTAAAGGCTGATGCCATCTGCTTCCTGCTCTCCCCCAGCCCACAGCCCTCTTTCCTTGCCCATATGCACCCGGGGGAGCAGAAGGAAATCAAAGTGATCTGAGGATCGTTTGCTTCAAAGTCATCTCTGGGAGAGGTTGGGTGGAAATCGATAAAATGCAGATTCCCCAGCCCCTCACTAGACCCAGTAGATAGAATTTCATAAGTGGGGCCTGAAAATCTATGTTTTTAGCAAGCTTCCCAGGAGACACATGGGTACAAGAAAGCTTGAGAACCACTGTTTTCCATGCTACTGGTGTGGATCAGTAAGATGGTCTGTTAAAGAACCTAGGATTCGAGCCCTTCACTCAACAGAGGCCTCTGGAGAGGATGAGGACAGGGGAGTTTGGGGTTTTGCTGAGTAGGGCTCATAAAGGAACTTCCTCTACACAAACACATGATTTCCTAATTCTGGTCAGACGTCTTGCTGAGTGTCTTTAGATCATATCTGGGCCTCAACTCAGTGTTGCATAATGCTCTTCAGAAGCCAGTCTTACATGTGCCCTCCTGCGAGGGGACTCTTCAGTCAGCTAACATTTGGAGGGTGCTTTTCAGTTACAAAGCTTTTTCACTTGTGTCTGATCTTACTTGATCCTCACTCAAGGGCCCTGAGGAAGGTACTATTAAAATCCCCATTTTACAGATAAGGAGGCTGAGGCTCAGTGACATTTGGTAGCCAGAATCATGCAGTTGGAACCCCTGTTTTCTGACTCGAAACTCTCACGTTTCCCCCATGCACTGGACAGCCTCAGATCAGTGATGTGTCAACTTCCAAAGGTGACCAGGTTAGCTGCTGAGGAGGCAGGCATGTTATTTGGTAGGATCTGGGGTGCTCGAGTAGCCTTATTAGAAACAGCCTCCTCACCTCAAAATAGGGAAGAGGCCAGAAGAGCCTTCAGACATGGCCTGCCTCACCCCGTCCACACTAACCAGAATGTTTGAACCACAGTCATAACTGGTAAGTGACCACATATTTATCATTGCGGTTGAACCCAGACAGGTAAAAATAATTTCAGTTGTATCATTCTCAAATATGAAGAAGTGATAGTTCTTAGATATACACTCATATGTGTATTTAGTATCTAAGCCTTCTAGTGCTGTAAGAATGAGAGTTCTATACTTTCTGCATATTTTTATCATGTTCAGCATGAGTACAAACTTAGAATTACACTGTCATTGACTGATGTTTACCAAAGATTAAAAAAATGTATACTTGCAGGATCTTAAAAAAGTTGTCCATGTACCAAATTGGACGGAACTTCTATAAGCCTTCCGAGCCAGTGGAAATTCCCCAGCACAAGTAGGTTTATTTATGTTTTCTGTTACTCTGAAATTGCTACAATGTGAGCAACATAATTTATGATGTAATATTATACTACTATGCCTCCTGAGAGACTCTGTGGTATGAAAAATAATGGATTTTTTTAATTTTCAAGTTTTTTAATAGAATGGTGAATGTCACCGTAAAGCTAGCAGCCTGTTTTCTCATGTTAGTATGCTAGATCCTTATCATAAATAGTAGAAGGAATTCAGACACTGAATTTTCTGTGTGTAATGAGTAATAATGAAAGCTTATTCTGCTTTAGGGGAAGTAGATGCTTCAGGGAAAGTGGGCAGCTATGTCTTGAACTGGTGGTTTCTCAGCTCTCCAAAATATGCGGTCAAGCCAAAGACAGAGAGGCAACCGGTAACCCAAAGGCAGATACGTAAACAAAGGGAGAAGTGCATAAAAGATAGAAAATGGGGCAGGGTGTTTGGCTTTCTGCCAGGTGGAGGAAAAATGGTAAGGTTTCTGTATGTTAATTAAGTATGTCAGAGTGATCTATGTAAAGCATCCTATTCATCCCTGTCACTTATCTCTCTACCTGGGTTAGAAGTTCTGGTAAGTCCAGTGTTGTGCTGAGCTGGAGTTGGTGCTCAGTGCATGTGCTTGTTCTGAAGGCTGGCTTAGTATCACGGTGCATGGAGGCCACAAAATATAAACTGAAATGATTTTTTTTAAATATTTATTTTTTCATGCTACTTCCGTAAATTTTTCTTATTCAGGACTTCAGTCTGTGACATTCATAAACGTGGAAAGGAGCTGTAGCCTCTGCTACAGTTTCTCTTGTATGTCTGTGCATGATATCACTTAGTTTATTTCGTAATAGACTCATTATTAAGTCTATCCACTGTCTTCACATTGAATCAATGTGCTTTTCTGAACCTAGATGTTTTCATGCTGGAACAGATCACTCCATATTGATCCTATAGCTGTGGTTCTCAACCAAGGGCAGTTTTGCCCCCCAGGGGACATTTGGCAATGTCTGTAGACATTTTTGGTTGTCACAGCTGGGGTCTGCTACTGGCATCCAGTGGGTAGAGGCCAGGGATGCTGCTAAGCATCGTACAATGTACAGAACAGCCCTTCACAAAGAATTATCCAGTCCACAATGTTGGTAGTGCCAAGACTGAGAAATCCTGCTCTACAGAGAATATATTTTATCTTAAATATATGTTTAAAGACAGCTGGAAGTAGCTAAAGTTTTTAGTCAGCAACTGGAAGAAATCAGACTAAAGAAAAAATTATTTCGTAAAAATCTAGAGACTTGGAATGTAGAACCATCATTTAAAAATGTGTATTGTTTTTCTGATATAACATTTAAAATATTTATTTTTAAATTTTTATTTATTTCTAAATATTTATTTGTTTTTTTAAGGTTGTCCCTTTGGCCTGGGTTTGCCATTTCTATATCACACTTTGAAAGCAGGCTCCTATTTAGTGCTGATGTGAGTTATAAAGTCCTCCGGCATGAGACTGTTTTGGAATTCATGACTGGTCTCTGCCTGAGAACTGGCATGTCCTGCTTTACCCAGACGTGTGAAAAACAGCTGATTGGGCTCATTGTCCTTACAAGGTAAGAGTCCGCATTTAAATGAACTTTTCTCCAGAGAATGAATAATTTATCGTACTTGGGAACAGGAATCAGCACCGGGGTATTGGCCTGAGCACACATCTGATCAGTTCACTCACCTGTCAGAAAACCCGGCCCTGAGCAATTGTCTAGAGTTCAGACTTCCCCGAGTGGCATTCTGGACCGTCCACAATTAGATGTGGTCCTGCATTATCTCTTGCTGTACCCCCAGCCCCAAAAGTCTGCCCTTTGCTGCTTCAGTGCCTCTGCCTGGATTCCCCACCCCTAATTCTGCCTTTTAAATTTCTATTTCCGCCAAGCCCAGCTCAAATGTTACTGCTTTTCTGAACCTCCACGTGTCCACCCAGTTGGAATTATTTGGTTCCCTCCCCTATGCTGCTCGCATAGCACGTTGCTTATAGCCACCTTTTTACAGCTATTTTATTTTATAACATTATAGGACAGAACATTAGGCCATTTTTCACCTTCTCTATAAGATTATCAGGTCTTTAAGGCTGAGACCTGTCAAGCCTCTAGGATTGTCTATGTATAATTGGCCCTCAATGCACATTGAACTGCATTAAAGACGGGCAGATTAGGTGACTTCCAGAGTACTAAAAACTTACCATATAGGGCTGCTAGTCCACGGATACTTCTTTTAGAGGACCTGCTAGCCTTCTCCTAGTCTGGCTTGGAATTTCCACTGAAAGTTGCTTTTCTGGGTTATATAGCAGAGAGGTGGGACTGGTTGAATTCCACACGACTTGGAATGAGAAGGCCGCTCTCTTATCTTCCTGTCATGATCAAGGCTATTTCAAAGTCACCTTGCAGGGAACCACGAGCCCTGGAGAAACCCGATGAGGAGGTTTGTGGCCCCAGGCTGGGGCAGGGTGAGACATATCCCAGGCCACACAGTGCTGAAGGGGATAATGAGCTTAGAGTGATCTTAGCTGAGCTGCTTGGCAGTTTTGCTGAGGGCCAGCCCTAAATGGAAGATGAAGCAGGATACCAGAATTGCATGGTTGATCAGCCTTCTTTTGTGCTTTTTGTCAGAAAAACTATCTGGGACCTCAAAACATCTGTGTGACACCAGAAGCTGATGGGAAAGTTTTGAACAATGGTTTGGCCCTTGAACATTTAAGAATGATTTACCTAAAGTTAGTGTGTCCATGAGAAAAACAGATTGTGATCTAATGACTTTCCCACTGGTTTTATTGGAATACTGAGGTCTTCCTGTTTACTGAAGAGTTAATTAGTGCTCTTCTCAGATAAGAGCTGATCATTTTTTAAAAAGTGACTATTCTTGGTTACTGTCTTTCATAACTTCTGAAATTCTGGAGCCTAATACTTTGAATTAAAAGTGTAGTGAAATAGTCACTTATCTTGTATGATTTGGACAAAAAAATTAAAGATTTCTTGCATTTACCAGATACAATAACAAAACCTATCGCATCGATGACATCGACTGGTCAGTGAAGCCCACGCACACCTTTCAGAAGCGGGATGGGGCAGAGATCACCTATGTGGATTACTACAAGCAGGTAGGACTTTTTTTCCTTCATCCTCATCTTCCTTCCCCTTAACTCAGAGAAGTCTCCCCCATTCCTTTCCAAGTCCAACAAGTCCCCCAAATTGTCAGACGGAGTCTGCCTCCTCTGACATCATTCTCTGCCTTGTCCCTTCCCCTCCATCCCCACTGTCTCTAGCTTGGCTCAGACTCTCATCCCTTTTTCCTGTTGTCCTTCTTCCTGTAGTCTGAGTAAGCTTCCTTAAAAGCCTATCTGATAATATCACTTACCTGCTTAAAATATTTCCATGGCTCCCCATTGCCTTAGGATTAGGAGCCAGATCTAAGCTCCTGGGCAGAGTTTCCAAGACCTTTTATGATCTGGCCCTTCCTTGCCTCTTGAGCCTGATTTCTTACCACTTCTGTTTACTTTGTACCTTCTGCTCACTGTTTGTGGTTCATTGAGTCAGTTACTCCCCTCTGCATTTTCTTGCATGTTGCTTCCTCCTCCTGGACACCCTTCACAGCCAGCCAATCACTAAACACCCTTCAAAACTCAACTCAGCTGTCAACCCTTAGGGGAGCCCCATGATGCTCTCCCCAGGGCTCCCCTCCCTGCACTTAGCTACATCAAATTATCACTGGCAGGACACAAATGGTCTGACACCCTTCCTGAAATTTGAGCTCTTTATTTCTGGATACCCAGGGCTAGCACAGAGCTTGTACATAGTAGATACTCAAACATTTATTGATGGAATCTCCTGCTGCCTCTGGGAGCTTGATTCACAGTTATCACCATTACCCCTGACCCCACCTTCCATCTTCAGTTACTTTCAGAGGCTCCTTCTCTTTAATGTACAATCATATTCAGGTCTCCGAAATCTCACAGATGTTTTAAAAACAAAAACAAACAGCAGCAAAAAGCCTTCCTTGACCTTTCCACACCTTCAAGAAAAACTATTTCCTTTTTCTCCTTAGTAGCTCATTTCTTTAGAAGGTCATCTACACTGGCTCCAAGGACCTCTTCAATTTTTCCTTCCTGAAGCCTCAGCAGTCTGATATCCTTATCTGCTCCTGTGGAGACAGCTGTCTAAAGGTCAAATCCAGCTACTGATCTCATCCTAAGGGGCTTTCAGTGGCATTTGACATAGTGACCACTCCCATGTGGCTGAACTGCTGTCTTCTGTGTCTCTGGTGGTTTGCCACTACATTTCAGGTTGTTTTTTCTCAGCCTCCTTTGACGTTTTCTCCCATCCTTTCCCCCAAATGTTAAACGCTGTTATTCATCATGGTTCCCTCCTATAGGATCTTCCTGCAGATTTTGAGATCATTCAAATATAATATTTTTGCTTTGCCCTCATTCCTAAATTACACGCTCATCTCCATTTTCAGACAACATTTGCATGAATATCCTGCAGCCCTGTCAAACTAACCTAATTCATACTGCATTCATTGTCTTTCCCACTCCCGTTTCTCCTTGGAAATTCTGCCTCTCAGGAAATCATTTTGCTTCCTTCCTCCTCTTCACCCTCACTTCCTCGTTCAAGATGAGTTCCACCTCCGTTATCCTTGAATTCTCCCTGGAACTCATCCCCCTCTCCAGCCCTATTCACTGCATTAATGGAGAACCACCCACGGGTTCCTGTCTTGGGGATTTCCTCCGGGATTTATGGCCTCCTTGTGGAGGCCATAAAGGATCTGTCATCCTTACTGCCACCAGAGAGACCTTTCTGAAATGCTGCCCAGAAATCTGGTTGGAACATAAGCTCTGGGTAAGACAGTCCTGGCACTAGCTGTGTGACCTTGGACAAATCATGAAACCTGGAGTGTCGTCTGTAAAGGAGAGTCATCTATCTGCCTTCACGGTGCAATGTAAGCACTGAACGAGTCTGCCTCAGCCATCAGTAGTGGAAATGCTGGCATTGAGTTGGCTCCAGTGGGGTCATTGCACTAATTATGGAGCCAGCTGGAGGCTAGTCTGACTCTGGATGAAACCCAGAAGAGAGCAGGGAAATGATTTTTTTTAAATGGTGTTGCATTATAAAAGATAATTAAAATCATAAAACTGGCCCTCAGATATAAAATATAGAGCCTGGGAAGGAAGTAGAAATGAGTAGGTAACCATGGGATTTTTTTTTTTCCTTCATTGAAAAGATTTGCTTGTATATTCATTTTGGGATTACTTGGTGCTTATAAGCAAGGATGCTCGTTTTACAGTGTTTCCATATTAACTTTTCCTTCATTAACCTTGCATTCTGTAGCAATACAATATTACTTTATCTGACCTAAATCAGCCAGTGCTTGTTAGTCTGTTGAAAAGCAGGAGCAATGATAACGCTGAGGTTCGGATGGCCCACCTGATACCCGAGCTCTGCTTTCTTACAGGTAATGTTTATGTTTTATACTCTCTCAGGCTCCTGGTCATGGGCTCCTGATACTTAGCAGTGGGCAGAGCCTCCTTAAGTTAGCTGAGCGCCAGAGCGTTGATTTAACCCATGGGGGATGGGCCTGTTAAGTAATTTATTTGATAGAGAAAGTGGGAGGATGCAGTGCCCTTTGGAAATTGCTTGGCACAGTCAGTTATCTATTTCCTTTATCTCGTATATTCTATTTTTTATGTTGATGTAATATAGGCCCCCAGAAACTTTCCTAAAACCAAGCTGCTCTTCGCCATTTTTTGAACTTCACCAGTATAGGGAGCGATATAACTTTGATTTTCTTCAGGTATATTGTTTGAGTGGTGCCAAAACGATCCTTATTTTCTTTTTGCATGAGCTTCCAGAAGGTAGTCTCACTATACAGTAGAATCTGAGTAACTGTATCCAGTACTTTTAATCATGTTCATTTGATTAACAGTGGGACTAAGGAGGGAAGACTTTCTACTTTTTACTTTTTTCTCTATTGCTCGAATCAGTTATGATGTGTATATATTTATTTTGCAATTAGAAAAATTAATAAGCATATAATCCTTGAAGGGAGGGATGTTCATTCTTAGTAGTATTCTGATATTCCAGGTCTGCGAAGTCCCATATGGTAGCCCTAGCCACATGCATTTATTGAGCACTTGAAATGTGACTAGCGCGACTGAGGGACTGAATGGAGATATGCTGTAAGTGTAAAATACAGTCTGGATTTCTAAGACTTAATACATATGGAAAAAGGGAAAATAACTTACTAATAAATTTTTAGATTAATTATATGTTAAAATGATAATATTTTGTGTATATTGAGTTAAATATAAATAAATACTATTTATGTAATTTCTTCTGTTTCTTTTTGGCTTTTTTTAACATGGCTACTAGAAAATTTTAAATGACATGTATGGCTTGCATGTCTGTTAGACAGTGCTGTCCAGATGCTAAATCCAGTTCAGTTTAAGTGAAAAGCTTACACTGCACCTGAGTTGGGCTGGGGATCCATTGCATACGGTTCACTTTTTCACTTGGTTTTCGTTTACATTTAATAGGACTGACTGACGAGGCAACCTCTGATTTCCAACTGATGAAGGCTGTGGCTGAAGGAATGCGTCTCAGTCCTCTGGAAAGGCAGCAGCGCCTAGCCAGGCTTGCTGATGACATCCAGAGGTACTGAGATGCCTTGCTGGGACCAGAGTGTACCCTGCCTAGGGCCTAGTTTATAGAATTGGATAATCTGTAAAACGCTTCATTCCTTGATGAAAATGTCTCATCTCTATTGACTCAGAACATGGCACCTTTGAATTGGGTTGCCCAGAGCCAGAGGTTCATCCAAGATGCCTCAGGACTATAGGTCGAAGGGAGGTGGTTGGAGGTCACACTGGCAGAAGTACCACCTCACTTCAACTAGATGGCTCTGCTCTCATCCATTTAAAACGTTGACATTCTGGATAAAATTTTGAATGAATAAAAGGGATGTCATTAAAAAAATCAGCCAGTCCAGGCCCCCAGTATTCAGGGTCAAGAACGTTCAGATCTTAATATAGTGGCCTCAGCACACTGATCATTAGGAAGCCCCACTATGTGTTCTTTAAACTTAGGAATACCTTTGTACGCTTTGGTTCGGCCCATCTGATTCTCAGACTGCGTCCCTGCCCTCGTTGATAACAGTTTGCTGTAACCTGTGATGAGCTTCTCCGTTCTCACTGCCTAGAGCTTTGCTGTCCAGTACTGTAGCCTCATGTGACTAGTGGGCACTTGAAGTGTGGCTAGTGCCACATCTTGAAATGATCATATTTTGGATATATTGGGTTAAATAATATATATTTTAAAAATAACTTTGTTACTTTATGCTTTTTTTAATGCAGCTACTAGAAAATTTAAAATGATATATGTGGCTTGCTTTATATTTTTACTGAACAATACTGTTGTAGAATGATCTTTTTTCCTTTACAAAAGTGTTTTTTTTGAAGTAATACCAGCTCATGAAGGAATTTGAAAATTTACATAAGCAAAAAGAAAGACGTGTGTGTGTGTCTACTCAGTAAATATTTGTTTAAGAAATGAATGAATCATAACTGAATGGTGTGTCTTCTTTCAGATATTCTCAAATGTATATGATCATGTTCTTTTCAGGAAAATGACATAGTGCTGGATATCATGTTTTGTAACTTGCTTTTTCTTGATCATTTCCATATGATAAGTTTGCACCTCTAGTATTGTGCTAGTGGTTTCATAGTTTTCCATTTTATGGCTACACTTTATGTCACTTATTCTGGACATTCCCCAGACATGCTTACTTGAGAAAAGCCTCCTGGTTCTCTCCTGTTATACCAAGCTGTGGCTACGTCTTCCTGACGCTTCTACCTGCCACCTGTCAGTAGTCCCATTTGCTTCAGCCCAGTTTCCTGTCCAGTGTTTGCCTCACCCATCTCGTCTTGGGCAGATGGTATCTGAAGCGAAATAATTCAAAGTATTTAATGTGACCAGACCAGACATAACATTAATAGATGGAAATAATGAGCTGTTATGGAAAGACAGAGGTAAAGAGACTTAAGCTCCCCTAAAGAGAGAATGGAAGCTTTAATGGGCAAAGAAAAACAAGAATCTCATCAGTCTCCTTTGTGAGCATCTCGCTTACCATGTGCCGGCTACTGTAATAGAGACCAGGAGACAAAGTCAGTGAGGTTGCTCCCTGAAAGGAGCTTACAGCTTGATGGAGATTATCATGTATCATAATCCAATGAGATAATACATAAACTATGATTAAAGTTTACTAATTTATAAACTTAAAAGTACTATACAAATATAAAGTACTGTTATTATTGCTAATACTAATATTCTGCTCATAGTCTTCCTACCGCCCTATCCTTCTGAAGCCTAAGTCCTTATGTTCCGTTCCTTTATCACCCTCATCCACTCCCAAGCCAGCAAATTCAAATATTCCCAGAAGACATCTCTACATCCGGAGACTCCAAAATATCTCTTTATGAACAAGTTTATTATCAGGAATAATATTTCACATTTATTTAGCACGTAGCATGTGCCGGGCAGTGTGGCAGTCCTTTCCGTGTATTGTCATATTTAATCTTTATATCAACCCTATGAAGCAGCTGGTTTTGTTATCCCTACCTTTTGCCAATAAGGAAACCCAAGGCTTTAAAAGATTTAAGAGTTTGTCCAAGGTCACATATTATATGTTAGTGCTAGCAGTTAAATCCAGATCTGTCCGGCTTAAAGGCCCATTTTGCTAACCGACTGACGTGCCACGCTGGAAGCCTTTTCCCACCTGGCATGGTCCAAATGAGTGCAGTTGTCCCATAATGCTTTTCAGCAGGGAAAAAAAAAGTGATAGTAGAAATAGAAATCAGAAAGCCTAAAGAAAATCAGCCCCTGAATAATTCAGGAACTTAGAATTCCATCTCTAATGATTAAAATTATTTAGAAAATAAGCACTTGAATGATTTAAAATTCAAATCTATCAACAGAAACAAGGATGCTCGTTTTGAGCTGGAGACCTGGGGGCTGCGTTTTGGATGCCAGATGTCTTTGACTGGCCGGGTTGTGCCGTCAGAAAAAATATTAGTGCGAGACCAAGTAGTAAGTGCTGTGATTTTAGTTTCATTTAAAAGTATTTACTTGAATATGCGTAAGTTTGATCATTTGCCAGGGTGACTAGTGGGCTTGCAGTCTTCATTTGGCTTCTCCATGGCCATGTCCCCGCCCTCCCTTAGTCTGCAGCCTTGAGGTTCCCTCCGATCCGTGTGCACTTGTGCAGGCTTAGCAGCACCCAGCAAACACGATTCAGGTTAGCGCAGTGTGTTGTCATTTAAAGATGCGTTAGAAGATGGTATTTCAAACCATTGCAATGAAAACATGCCCACCTATTATTGGGTGTTGTGCCTCTCTTACGTCACTTAAAAAAAAACAAAAACTATAGTACCAGAGAAGATTCTATTAACTGGTGAAGGTTACTTGCAATAGATTGTATTTCCTGATACCAGAGTTGGGTTTTTAGTTGCTGTGTCAGTTCTTCCAGAGTTAATATTCCAAAGTAAAATGCTGCTCAACTGGCATAAACATGAAAAAATTTGCATATAACCCATCCCAGCCGTAGCACTCAGGAAAAGAGGCATTCTGAAACCTGAAGAGATATATCATTACCTCTTTTGGGCTTCAACTGAAGAAACAAACCTATTGTATGCGAAAATTTTGCATTATTTTTCTCCTTTTCCCTTCTGTTTTGTCCATTTTTAAAGCCAGTTACATTTCATGTCATTTTTATTTATTTATTTATTTTTGTGAGGAAGATCAGCCCTGAGCTAACATCCATTGCCAGTCTTCCTCTTTTTGCTAAAGAAGATTGGCCCTGGGCTAACATCCATGCCCATCTTCCTCTACTTTATATGGGACGCTGCCACAGCATGGCTTGACAAGCGGTGTGTCGCTCGGCGCCCCGGATCCAAACCTTCGAACCCCAGGCCACCAAAGCAGAGCGCAGGAACTTAACCACTACGCCACGGGGCTGGCCCGTCATGTCATTTTTAAAGGCTCTCTTCTTGTCTTTATTTGATAGAATAAACCGACATGTCTAAACTAATATAATCAAGCAACGAATGTTTCATGTTGGCAGAATAGGGATTTTTTTCCTCATTTCTTTTGATAATCCATCCAAATTACCAAAACCCTTATTGGAGAAGCTGAGAAAAACTACTTTTGAAAATAAAACACTTTGTAAAGTACTAGAATGTAGGCCCCCATTAGGATCTTGGTCAGGAGTCAATACAGAGAAGCTCAGTTTCAGTTCCACATATGAAGTGGGACTTAATGATATTTGAAATGATCTGTTTCATTACGTCTATAAGTAAAGTCACATTTATCAGAGTTTTTTGTGACATGGAAACAGGTCTTCATAGGAGAAGAGGCACTAATATGGAAAACCGGCCCCCTAGAGGTGGTGGTGGCTGCTGTGTCATGGGCTTCTTGGCAAATACTGCTTTTCTGAAATTGGGTTCTAAGAACTGAGTAAACTAAAGGTTCACAGGCCTCAGAGTGGGCCTTGGGCATTTGTCCTGGGTCTCCTGCTAGCCCATCAGATGACAGCCGGTAGGAGTGTAGGTGAGGGCTGTGGTTCTCCCCATATTGGCTGTAATAGAAAAGAATGAACCTTGGCTCCAGAATACCATCTATGGAGGGCTAGCCCTTCCCCATCATTTTCAGGCTAAGGTCACCTCGTGGAGCTGAGATCCTACCTGGCCACCTGATGGCAAGGCGCTGTGAGGGTGGCTGGTGGTTGGAAGTCAGAGTGCTTGGTGGAAAGTGCCCTGATTACATGTCAAGAAGACCAACATTCTAAACTTGTCACTGCCACCAACTGGCTCCATGACCTCTCTCAGCCACAGCTTCGGAGTCTGTAAAACAAGGGGATTGTGGTGCTTCTTAAACATGAATGTACAGATGAATCACTTGGGAACTTGTTAGCATGCAGCTTCTGATTCAGTGGGTCTGGGATGGGACTCTGCATTTCTAACAAGCTCTCAGGAAATAATCATGCTGCTACAAGACAGCACTTGGAGTAGCAAGATTAGATTACAGTGCGGTCCTTTTTAATTCGAGCAGTGGCTGTTCCCAGCTTGCCACACCAAGGATGTTTCCACTGGATTCCAGTCCATGGATCTAAGCAGAGGGCTAGTGACCAGTCTAAAGTCTCCCCTCTTCAGTGCAGGGAGCTTGTTTTTCCTGGTCGCCTGGGGAACCTTCCAAAAGTGAGGAAGGAATTTGTGTCCTGGCCTCATCTTTGCTCCTAGATGTAGCCACTCCTGACGTAATGTATATTATTAAGTGTCCTGTAGGGTTTGTTAGTTTTAGTGTGATGATCTAGAGTATCAATAATCAACATTTTCTGTTTGAGATATCTAGATGCCTAAAGTAAAGAGACCCAATGGGACAGCCCACTCGCCTGAGCCATTCATAATAAAGGTCAGAGATTCTTAGAGCTGGAAGGGAACCTAGAGATCTTTGAACCAGACACCTTTCTTTGCCCACCGCGGAGGCCCATGAGTAAAGGGACTTGCCCACGGATCTGGCTGCCCTGGGATGGTGCTCAGATGCCTCCGCTCCAGGAAGCACTTGTATCCTGTTCAGATATGCCCTGCTTGTATCAGTGTTTTAAGTCTGTGACTAGCACACTATACTAGATAGTTCTGTTATGACAAACATGGACCATCTCCACACTGTCTTTATTTAATTGCTCTCTGAATAAATGCATTCAATCCTTTTGTGATCATTATTTTCTCAGTGTCAACCTGCGTCTGCTGCTGATTGGTTCAAGGATATGCGAACTTGCAAGATGTTAAGTGCACAGTCTCTGAATAAATGGTTGGTCATTTGTAGTAAGATAGCTGAAAATGTGACCGAGAACTTTCTGACCTGCTTGAGAAGAGTTGGAAGTTCCATGGGATTTAATGTGGACTACCCCAAAATGTAAGAATATACTGAAAATCATCCTAGCCTTTTTCATATATTAATTTGGTTTGGTTAGAAGATAGGAAATAATGGCTGATGTAGCTATAAAAGCTTCTTTATCTCTGTAAATATTCCTAATGTGCCAAGAAAATAGTTACAAGTAGATTTTGTAATGATTAAATTTTCATTCAGTTAAAATGTTGTTGGTCTTTGTAAAACCTTTTTCACAGTTTTTTAAGCAGTAGTCTCATTACTTCAAAATCTTTTCAGTACTAGTTGGGGTATAAACCCTTGGTAAATCCATCTATTGTAGTCCTAACTTCTTTTCCTTAGTTCTTTTCTATCAGTTATTTATGAAACTTAACAAAAAGCAGGATATTAAAAAAATAAAAGGTGCATTTCCTGACTTATTTGATAAATTTTATGCTTTGAAATTTAATGTAAAAATAGATCTGAAATAAGCTTTTCTGATTCTGTTACTTAGCATAAGATTAGTCATTTAGGTAGTTTTTTGATAAAACCAAGGTCATTTATTTAGTCTTTGCATATATTTATTGAACATCTACTATATGCTAGATACTATGCCAGTTGCTGGGGATGAGAAAGATAAATACATTGCTTCCAGTTCAGTAAGGGATCCGTACATATATCACACAATCACACTGAAAACTGGATATTGTTTTGCTTTAGAAAAGTCATAAAGTTAGTCATGCCTCATTTTATTGAGCTTCATATGCTTGGTAAGAGCAATAAATACTTCTTTTTCTTTGTTATAGTGGAGGTGCAAATATCCTAATTGGCAGGGTGGGAAGTTATTCTTTAAACAAATGGTTACTAATTAACTACATTGGCAGTGCAAGCATTGTTGAAAACCATAGATATTCGCAAAGTCTCATTTTACACTGTAGTTTAGAATTCTCCTCTTATCAAATCTTAACAAATCGCCTGGTTTGAGTTACACCTGCTCTAATTTCTCTTAACCCATGAGCTAACAAAGCAGGAAAAGATTAATAAAAGAAGCCACAGTCAGCAGACCCTGGGCTGGCGAACAGGCTCTTTCTTACACGAATTCCACAAACAAGCCCGTGCCCACGTTCTGTTCTTGGCGTGTTTTATTTGAAAGCCCATATTTCATTCCATCCTTTTTCTTTCCCATGATGTATCTATTTATCTGTTAGATTTATATGCATAGTTTCTCCCATCTGAAACATTTGCCTGATGAGTTTAGAAGGAATGGACAGTAAGATGGCGGTTGAATCTGTGTGCAAGCGATTGAACTGGAAAAGTCAGAAGCATTTAGTTGTTTAACAGACCTGCAGGCCATTCGTGAAGCTCGGTTAAAATCAGCAAGCAGGAGACAGTGGTCCTGCCACCTGCTGGGCAAGTTTTAAAAGGCCACAGGGCATTGGGACAATAGAATCATATACAGGTATGAGAGACTGATTCTACATAAAGAAACTAGATCTGGAAATTCCTCTGTGTGGGAATTATTTCTGTAGCCTCTGGCCCCTAACATAGTGTAAGCACAGAACAGATAACTGATAAGTACTTCCTGACTGATTGATTGATTAAGGCTAAATATTCCAGGCTCCAAACAAGCTACCACTAAGGAAAAAAAATCTTTTAGTCTGAATCATGCAGATTAGCTGAATGTCTAGGTCTCATTAACCTGATGATTTTTGAAACATTTATTTTTAAGTTCCCCTGGAGATTCAGTGTTGGGGAAATCTTAATCCCAGTTTAACTAGAACCCTGTTTCAGACACTTGATATTGAGACTTGTGATTTCAAAACTTCACTTTCACCCCCGTTTTGAACAACAGAATTATTAATTGTAGGGATTCCATGCAATTGAGAAAATGTCATTTTTCACCAAACTATTTTTTAAGCTCATAAAAATGATTGTTAAATGTTTCTTGTGTATCTTGTAGTGGGAGAAACAATTTTAGGCTTCAAAAGGTTTTCACTTTTTTCTAATGATTTTTTCTCAAATTCCTAGTCTGTTATAAAAATCCATTTGTATTATTTTAATTCTTGATGATATGTGTTACTAAGAAGGGAATTATATATCTTCAAAATTAATCTTTTTATGTAGCATAAAAGTACAGGAAAATCCAGCTGCGTTCCTTAGTGCTATACAGAAACATATCGATCCTGATGTTCAGTTGGTAAGTATAGGATAATCTTTGTGTTTCATGTATAATTTTTATTTTTTCTTGAAAAAGAAAAAATTGAAAGAAGGAATTGGAACATATTCTCCCATGATATGTTTGCAAATCGCTGTGCATTTCCCCAAGCACTGAAGTATTAATCTTAGGATTTTAATCGATATTTTATCTCCCTTTCAGATTTCTAATATTAATTTTTTTTTAATTTTATTTATTTATTTATTTTTTCCCCCAAAGCCCCAGTAGATAGTTGTATGTCATAGCTGCACATCCTTCTAGTTGCTGTATGTGGGACGCGGCCTCAGCATGGCCAGAGAAGTGGTAGCGCCGGTGCACGCCCGGGATCCGAACCCCGGGCCGCCAGCAGCGGAGCGCACGCACTTAACCGCTAAGCCACAGGGCCGGCCCCTAATATTAATTTTTAAATGCTTGTTGTTAGCTCTATATCAGCTTCTTGGATGCCTGTATATTTCCAACTTGTTGGGGGTCATCTTTTACTTAAGATTTGAGATAAATTGATTCCCACCTTACCCCATAAATGTTGGGGTACCCCATGTTCTCCCCAGTGTTTCAGGGGATTCTTGGAGAGTTTAGGTTTTTCCATGTCGCCAATGGCCCCATGTTCCTGCTTCCTCTGAATTCTTGCCGTCCTCTGTGTGTCTCATCTTTCACCAGTGCCCTTTCCTCCTGCATTGCATCACCCTGTGGGACATCCGCGATTGTGGTTTCCCAAAGTGTCTTCTGTGTGTGTGTGTGTGTGTGTGTGTGTGTGTGGTGTGTAGCTGACGTTGCAGTGGGTTTGGAACCAAGGCATGATTACATCACATCCCAACATTCCAGACAAGTTAAAATTGACTACCCTGTTCTTAAAAGCTCCCCACCATTCCTAATTTTTGCAAGTGTTTACTCTTCTCCCAGGCCTCACCTCCCACTGTATTGCAGTGCTTTCCTGCCCCATCTCCTCATCTCCCCTCCCTAGCTCACTCATCCCACCTCCCAACATTCCTATTCAACCCCCCTGCAAAGCAGTTTAGCTCTTTGTTTAGCTCAGACACAAAACATGGTCCATAAGGATGTTACATAGTAAACAAAAAGAATTCTTACCCGAGAGCGTTTATTTTTTACCTAAAAAAAAATCAAACTTACAGAAAGTTTGCAAGAATAGTACAAAGAACTCCCATATACTCTCAACCCAGATTCCCCAATTGTTAATATTTTATATTTGCTTTATCATTCCCTCCCTCCCTCAGCATTGGAATCAGATATTTCTCCAATGAGCCTTGATTCCTTTTAGTAGAGAATAGTATTTAGAAACCTAGATCTGGGCACTGAGTGTGCTTATTTGATACTAGGGTATCACTGCCCCTAGATTTTCTCAATGGGCAAAGGTGGGAAATATGTACATGTATCTATGTATCTATCTATCATACACATACACGCACACTTCCATCTATTTTATTACTATATGTATCAATGTATATAGAAAACATGTTCAAACATACCTCCAGTTCCCATCCAACACTGTGGAAAGTGTTCCCCCTTTTCTTATTTGTTCCTGCTTTCTCTGATAGTGAGGAACAGGGCTCCTCTTATTCTCCACATGTTTGCTTACTTCTCCATCCCTTGGTGTGTAACCAATCTCACTTGGCTCCGCCTTCTTTTGCCCTGGTCCCTATTGGGCTGCTCCCTTGTTCTGCCACCTACCTCGCTTGGCCCCAAACTCATAGGATGGAAGGAAAGAAGTCCCCTAAGAGAATTTTGCCGACAACTTGAAAATATTTTCTCCTGCTTTATATAATTATGTGTAAAAAATTTTAGCCCTTGACATTATGGTTTTAAACACTTGTACAGGTAAAAAAATAAATCACTTTATTTTCTTCTGCTAATCATGACAGTGCCTATCTCTTCTATAATTTGCAAGTTTTTGAAGGTACGGAATAAAATATGGGAAGAAGATGGAGGTAGGCCAGGAGAAGTCCTTCTGTGAGGGAAACACCTGATAAGAAGTAGGGCCAGTGACAGAAATGGATGGAAATAAAAAACCAGGGAGCTGAAGCTTCTTTCTCCTTATTTTCCTTCCCCCCATATCCCTACTCTCAAGTCCCAGTAAACAAAACATTTGCTGCTGTTCGTTTCTTTTATTTTGGTTGTCTAGTACCTAATGGGAAAAAGACCACAGTTTAAGCCAATTCTTACTTGTGGGTGAAGCTGGGTGAGTGGGCAGTGGGGATGAGCGCTGGAGAGCGACAGGAAAAGAAGGAGAGGGAGCTGGAGAAAGCGAGGCTAGAAGGGAATTTGAGGAGACTCACAGAATCAAATCAGCAGAGAAAGGAGAAGGAAGGAAAAGCCAAGGGAGATGGGTAGGTTTGGAGTGGGGCTTTGGGGAGTGGATGGCTGATGAGACGGCATTTCAAATGGCATTGATTAATTGTCAGTGGTTTAAAGGCCATTTAAGAGAACTATAGGCGTGTTAATATTTGCTCCTTGGGAATTGAATGGCAAGAGATGTTGCAGAATCCATGTATTCCATTTTTTTTTAAAAGCTACTTCTAAGTGTAAGTAAATTGATTTTCTTTTCTGCTCTTTTTTTGTGCTTTTAGGTAATGTGTATTCTGCCTTCTTATCAGAAGAGCTATTATGATTCCATTAAAAAATATTTGAGCTCAGATTGCCCAGTCGCAAGCCAGTGTGTGCTTGCCCGGACCTTGAATAAACAGGGCATGCTGATGAGTGTCACCGCTAAGATTGCCATGCAGATGACCTGTAAACTCGGAGGCGAGCTGTGGGCTGTCGAGATCCCTGTGAGGAATCTGTCTCTCTTTTCCTTTTAGTGATCAATCAATATATTAATTAATTTTAAAATTAAATCGAAGTAGGAGAGATTTTCCCATGACACCAGAAGTATTTGCTCTGTTTGTTTGGTGAGCCTCTGCTCTGGGTTCCGGGATTACACAAGCCACCGTGAAGATACCCAGGAGAAGGTGAGGCGTGGCCCCTGTTCTCAAGGAGCTGCGGTTAAGCTGATAACAGACTGTTTCATGAAAGAGAATCTAGGTTGGCATGGACTTGGAGGGACTTAATTTGGAGCCTTCCAGCTGCTATTGAAAATCTGTGTTCCGTGGCCTCTACATTCACCTGCTTCAGCAGGTGCTAACTCTCAGAGTAGCCTTGCACCTTGGATGGGGCCTCCCCAGAGCTTGGGGAACTGGCAGAGCCTTTGATCTGAACCTCCAAACTGTTGGGGGAACTGAGTACACCCTCTTCTCTTTCCTGAACTATGGCCACTGTGAGATGAAGTGAGGGGATGAGAAATGAGGGAATGTTGGCCATTCCCTGACATTTCCATCACCAGAATGTGCACAGTTACCCCCAGCTGCCCCTTCCTGGAGGAGCATAGCCAAGTGAGGATTCCTTAGCCATCTGAAGAATGGGAAGGGAATTCCTCTTCAGATTCCTTCAGCCCAGAGGTAAGGGTTAAATGGACTACTTTCCCAGAATTTCTTGAGCCACTGCTGGCCCTTGCCCGCCCACACAAAGGATGATGGCTATTTTGGACTACAGTGAGTCTCTTAAGCAAAGTGTGTACAGTGTTCTTCCTTCCACCTCAAGTCTCTTTGGTTTCTGGTTTAATAATCTGCCTCACCTGGTCCTTGATCTCCCCAGCACGTAACTTAGCTTAAATAATTTAATAACTGGAGACCATTTTTTAAAAACCTTATATTAAATCATTGTTTGGGGAAATGATACCTCATCCCATTATATCCTGAAAAATTTAATTTTACAGTTAAAGTCCCTGATGGTGGTCGGCATTGATGTCTGTAAGGACGCATTCAACAAGGGAATGACAGTGGTTGGATTTGTGGCCAGTATGAACCCCAGAATCACCAGGTACTTTAAAAATTACCCTAACATATTCTTTAATTATTATTTGTGGTTTAACTAAAGACCATACGGCAAGAAATAGCTTATAATCTTCACTCATTTAAAATATGAACACTTATGGTCATAATTATACTTATAAAAATGTGATTGGTAATATTGGAGTAATATGTAGCTTCATTAAGAACTATTTTTATGCATACTTTGGGACAAGCTATTGCTTGTATGCCAGTCATATTCCCAAAATGATGGACACGTGGAAATTTTTGTGCATTTATTTTCTGAACATCTGCACTGTATTGGGCACTAGGAACTTGACCTGCATTAGGTCAAGCAGTCAAGCTTTGGAATCAGATTGCCTAGAGTTGTATCCTGATCTGCCACTTACTTACTCTGTGTCTGAGGTCTGGTTACTTAACCTTGCCTCATTGTAGTCATCTGTAAAATGGGAATGACAATGATGCCTATTTCATAGGGCATCTATAGGAATTATGTAAGATAAAGTGCTTAGAACATCACCACCCATAGTAAGTGCTCAATACCCGCTTGTTATTGTCATTGTTATTGTTATTACTTGCAGATATTTGATGTGGTGGTTGTTCACACAGCTATGAAAAACATAAGCAGGATTAGGGATAACGCATTAAACATCGACTTATAGTACTTATTAAATTGTAGTTCTTAGAATTGTTTCAATATTTGTAACTAAACAATGTGTTTTGAGGCTATAGGAGCTGGTTGCAACATGTTTTCTTCCTAGATTTAAGTATTTGATTTACTCCATTAAATTTGTGGTCAGGTATATATTTGTGATTGGGGGAAATAGGAAAAGTAGCAGCATGCCGCCGACTTCATTCCAGGGTGTGTGAGATCCTTGTTATGTGTGTCACTTCGTTAATCAAGCAGATAAAGGACTTCCAGCTTATTAGCAGCACTCCTAATTGTGTCATTACTGTTGCATATATTTAGAGAACTGTAATAATGTTGACACATACTTAACATCAAGTCATGATCTTCATTTTCCAAATGCTTTTATTTAATTAATGACTTTAGCCAGAGAACTTGCTTCTGAAATCTAAGTAAATTAATCATGCTAAGATTTCAAGTCCAAAAGGCTCACCTATAGAAGTGGAAGTTTATGCTTGAGAAATCTTTGGATATTTTGAAGTAGATCTGCTAAACTAATCAATTCCTTTATAGTAATAACATAGTGGCCTCTATTTATTCTTGCTTATTATGTGCCAAATATGGGGCTAAGTACTTTGTATATATTGTCTAATTTAATTTTTACCACAACCCTATGAGGTGGTAACCACCTTACCAACTTGTATATTTCCTTGGTGCAGATGAGGAAATGGAGGCTTCGGTTCACATAGCAAAGTCACAGAGCTGGTGTGTATGGCAGCCAGGATTTGAACCCAGATAATATGTCTGAGGCCAGCATTATGCTTTAGCTTCTCTTATCAATAAATTTCATTTGGGGAAGGGAGATTTTTAATATAATTGTGATCATATAGCATATACAAAATTATGAGCATTGATTTTTACTCATAGTGTCAATTTATTTTTTTAAATTGAGGTATAATTAACATATAACACTATATTAGTTTCAAATGTACAATGTAGTGATTCGATGTTTGTATATATTGTGAAATGATCCCCACAGTAAGTCTAGTTAACATCTGTCACCATACATAATTACAAAAAACCTTTTTTTTGTAATGAGAACTTTTAAGAACTATTCTCTTAGCAACCTTAAAATATGCAACACAGTATTATTAACTATAGTCACCATTTATTTTATAACAGAAAGTTTGTACCTTTTGGCCCCCTTCACCAATTTCACCCACCCTCCAACCCCCACCTTTGGCAACCACCAATCTGTTCTCTGTATCTCTGAGCATTTTTTTTAATTCCACATATTAGTGAGATCATTGGTATTTGTATTTCTCTGTCTGACTAATTTCACTTAGCATAATGCCCTCAAGGTCCATCTGTGTTTTTGCAAATAGCAAGATTTCAGTCTTTTTTATGGCTGAATAATACTCCATAGTGTATATATACCACATCTTCTTTATCCATGCATCCATTGATGGACACAGGTTGTTTTCTACTAGTTTAATACTAATGCATGTTTATAGTAGAAATTTTGAAGTTGAACTTTACTTTTCCTCTTTTCTTGCTTTAGGTGGTTTTCCCGCTGTATCCTTCAGAGAACAACAACTGATGTTGCAGATTGCTTAAAAGTTTTCATGACCGGTACTAAAAATATAGCAATGGGGGTGGGCTTCAAGGACTGTTCCTTCAGACCCAAAGTCCACATGCCTATAGCAGACCAGATGGGTGGAAGCAGACCCCTCAAGCCTGCCTGGGTCCACTGTCACCCAGTTGGAGATCCCCAAGGCTGTGCTCTGACTCAGGCTAACAGTCAGATTCTGTAGGATTTACATTTGTCATCTGTGTGTGATAAACAGAAAGCCAAGAGGAAGGAGCGTTTGTAGTGGCTGGTGGCTCTGGCAAGCAGCTTGAAGGCCAAAAGAAACCCACTCTGGAGGAACAAGGATTGTGACAGAGCAGTGTTAGGTCTAGAAATAGGAGTGAAGCCTTTGGGATTGGGATAGGGATGCTGGCAGATCAAGTGTGGCATAACAGGAGAAGACGGGAAAGACAGCAGGTGAGGAAGGGTGCCCTCTTCACAGCAGGATGCAGTGGAAAGAGGTGTCTGGGGTTCCCGCCTCCTCACCAGCCCTGGCCCAAATCTGGCTTTGCCACTCTTTAGCAGTGCAAATTGTGCAACTCACTCCCTCTCCTCATCTGCGTTTTCCCATCTATAAACTTTGGGGGGTTGTAAATATTTTTTTCTAAAAAAGTGAATTTGGTGATATGTGTTGGTAATGGACTTACATATATGATCATCTTCTGTTGAACTAAAATAAATTTCCTGGACAACAAACTCTTCTAAAACAATTGTGCAATATACACATGAAAAAAATTATTATATCAAATTACTTTCCCCTCACTTCAAAACCTAGTCATTTTTTCTTAGTGGTTATGAAATTGTCTCTTGGGTAGGAGTTACTGTCTAGGCTCTGCTCTTTCGGCAGTTTCTAGTTAGAGTGGGTAGAAATGCTTTCAGAGTTCATATTATCAGTGCGAGTTGGAGTCTAATTGAGTGTCCATGTGAAGAGATGCTTTCAGAGGAACAGCCAGGTTCTTTCCTTATGTTTTCATATTTATGCTCATTAGAGAAGAAAATGACATAAAATTATCTAGTCTATATTGAGAGGATTTAAAGACTCGAAGAAACTAAATTAGTGTTACTTTGGTTTTGGGAATTTGTCTATTGCATGACTTAAATTTTAATTTATTGCTTAAATATTAAAATTTTACTAAAAAGATATGCTGAGTTTAAGAATATATTATGCCATAGAAACCGTAATGATTCCTCAAATAGCAGCGATGCAGGAATGTTCCCTAAAGTCATCCATTTTTGTATTATTGCAAATACAACCCAAATTAGGTATTACCCTATTTTACAGTGGTTTGAAATAGCAAACTTATTTAAACATTGAAATATATGGGAATTTTATTCTTTGTTGGCGTTGGACAAGTCATTTTCTTCTTACTAACACCAAATTCTGCAGGAGCACTCAACAGATGGTACAAACACAACCATGGTTTGCCAGCACGGATAATTGTGTACCGTGATGGTGTAGGGGATGGTCAGCTAAAAACACTTATTGAGTATGAAGTTCCACAGCTGCTGAGCAGCGTGACAGAAGCATGTTCAAATACCAGGTATGAAACTATTGTTATTTCCCCACGCTCCCAATTACGTAGAGCACATTCATCATAACTATTAAAATTACTATGTGCCAGCAAATCTTTTTTTTCATGCAGTTAAGTTTCACTCCGTTTCTGCGTCATGCGGCTATAGCTGGATGGATGGTTTCCCCTAGATTGGAGGGTAGTTGGGTGGTAGCCTGGGTGGTGTGAGCTTTGGGGGCCCTGGGTGGGGCATCTGGAGGAAGGCAGGTACCTCCTGAGCAGCTGACACTGAGATTCAGCAGGAAGCCTGCAGGGCTGCTGGCAGGTGAGGACGCTTCATGCATATTAACATGCCAGGGCAAGAAACAAGCTGTGGTTTCACATTGAAGGGCTGAAGTGACACACAGGGCTGAAGCCTCTGAAGAGCAGGCACTGCTGGGCAACGAAGGTCTGCGGCAGGTGCGGAAAGGAGCGAGTGCTGTCAGAGCTGAGCTGCGTGTGGAGCTCAGACCATCTTAAACACCAGGCATCTTGCTCCATTGTCGCATTTCTCAGTTCAACGTTTCAGTACGACATTTTCCTCAGTGATTATGTCAAGTGGCAAGTGCAAGAAAAATATTATAACTGGAAAATGGGGGAGGATGATCATCTCAAATTGGCATCTTAAAATATTCGGAAAGCATCTTATTCCAAGCTGCACAGCGCTTGGTCTATAGGGTTACACCCTCATCTCCACCGGCAACAGAAGTGTTGCAGCCGCGAGCCCAGCCGCAAAGGAGCAGTCTTACCTCATCAGTGACTGTTAGAGAAGGCGGAGAGCAGAATAGCTCGGGGGCAGTATCACCTTCAGCTGCTCCAAACTGTCAGCCAAAATAGCTCCCTCCGCCACTGACGGCAGGTGACTGTGTCTATTCAGAATCACAAGTCTGCAATTTAGGGATAGAGGGAGTAAATTTAGCAGCTGACAGTGCTAAGGAGTTAGTTTTCTTGCACTATAATATCAACTTTTAAAAGTTTCAGAATTAAAAACATCCACATATTTTTTAAATAATTAAAATGCTTAAAATAAATAAAATACAGTGACCCTTGCATCCCAGAAGCTCCTTCCATGATGGCCAATATTTGGATTTGGCCTTGGCCTGACTGATTACTGACTTTATCATCTGGTTCTTCGGCATTTGGCCCAAATGTCTATTTGGTCTATCCGTCCATCCTCCCAGGTGTGGGTTTTGCAGGATTCAGGAGTGATGATTTGAGGAGTAAAGGAACTTGTGGTTCTCCTTTGCTTTTCAGAAATTGAGAGGAGGAGTGAAGGTGAAAATGGGGGACTATTGTTAATGGGAAAAATAATCTTGTCTCCATGGATAATTCGGCAAGTGCTAATTGAAGTTCATTGCCCTATTAAACATTTCTCCCCGTCTGCTTTAAATGATGTAAACTAGCCAAAAGACTGGACACACTGCACTTTTGCAACAAATGAGGACAAACCCTAATTTAAAAAATTGTGTCTCTGGGGAAGGAGAGGTTGGGGGTAATTTTTGTTTTCTTTGCTTTTGTAATGTTTTTCTAATGAGTGAATTTATTTATTTATTCCATTTAAAAATTACCTAAAAAGATAAATGGAAAGCTGCATGGCTTGGTTTTACTCCTCTCCATCTTATTTTTTGCCTTTCTGGTTCCTAGCTCCAAACTATCAGTGGTCGTGGTCAGGAAGAAGTGCATGCTGCGATTCTTTATGGAAATGAACCAGACCTTACAGAACCCACCACTTGGCACCGTGGTGGATTCAGAAGCAACTCGTTCTGAATGGCAAGTGCTCTTAGAAAATAAATTTTTAGCAAAGCATTCACTGTGTGTTGTTCAGGTTTGGCCTTATGTTTGCCTTCTTTTCCACGTTCATTCTGTTTTTTCCCTCAGGTATGACTTTTACTTGATCAGCCAGGTGGCGTGTCAGGGAACTGTTAATCCCACCTACTATAATGTCATCTACGATGACAACAGCTTGAAGCCTGACCACATGCAGAGACTTACATTCAAACTGTGCCACCTGTACTATAACTGGCCGGTGAGTGACAGCTGTTTACTTATGTGAGTCCTAATACTCAAAGTTCCTACCCAGGAATTGTCACACAGTTTTCCTTCATATCTCTACTCCTACCACAATGCCTGACTTTTGACAAGGGAGGAATGGATGAATGAATGAATGACTCCTTGAGTCCACAGTGGGAGAAACTCTGTCTGTCATAGAAACGAAATAAACTATTGTAACAAATTAGTATTCATAATTTCCAAAGCACTTTATTATATACATTATCGTATGCAAGCCTAAGAGGAAATCAGGGTATTGTTGTTTCCATGTTACAGATGAGGAAGTCAAAGCCAACTCAGATTTATGTCTGGTGGGAAAGGAACAGGCATGGCTCTGTTCTGTTTTCCTATACATGAGGCTAAGAGCTGCTCTCAAAGTCTCAGGCCAAGATTTGCTCTGAGCCCCTCGGAACAGCAAGTCGTAGGAAACTTAGGTTAGCCCTGAGTATGATGGCTCCCAGCTCCCAGCACCAAGAAGCCAGACTGCCCCTCCACCGCATCTTGCCCAGTGAGTGTAAGTTCCCAGTGAGCAAGGTTGCTCTTTGTTGGTTGAGTGTATCATTTACTCACAAACACATTCTATTGTCTGTGTAACTAATAGATGAAAAAACTCGGGAAAGAAAAATCATTTTGAAGAACAAGTTGTCCTCTTAATTACTGTCAATCCTTCTCCCTCCTCAGGGCTTAATCAGTATCCCAGCGCCATGTCAGTATGCACATAAGCTGACCTTTCTGGTGGCCCAAAGCATTCATAAAGAACCAAGTTTGGAATTAGCCAATTCTCTCTTCTACCTGTGATGACGTGAACCATTGGCATCCCTACAGGAGGATTCCGAGGAGTAGTTGGTATACTTTGTACAAATCTGCCGTGAGCTCCCCGCTGTGACTGGGGAAAGGAGATCGAGCTTAGTTTTAACTTCTGGGGAAAAAAACCCCAAACAACTTAATCTGAAATGGTTCAAAAGAAATCTATGTTGTTTTATTTTAAAGAGTTATATGCTTGGAGTGAATTCACATTGTGGTATATGGAATTAACATGTACCATCACTTGTAAGTAATTCCACAAAGCTAAATATCCGCTAAGAAAATAAGTGTTTGCGTGATGTTTTGATGGTAGGTAAAGGGGGTCTAATTCCCACCCTAAATTTTATGGAAGTTTTCTTAAATAATGTTATAGAGCATTTTGTAGAGTGGTTTAAATAGTTGTTAGAAAATAAAATTCAGAGCATTGCATATGTGTTTATTGTTATTTGAATTTCCCTTGAAGTTACGTGTGAATCTCATTTAAGTGTTTTCAGCAGACTCAACCACCAGACCACGTCACCATCACTTTTTGAATTATATTTCTAAAACCGAATATATCACTTGCTATCTTGACGTTACTTTATTTCACTTAATAGCAACTACTCTCTTTGATGACCTTGCTTCCTACTGCACTGAGAAAACAGATTCCATCAGAAGAGCACTTGCACAGGCTCCCATTCCCTCTACCCACCTAAGGGCATCTGTGTGTATAGTCCCCCCTCCCTGGGGGAGCAGAATTTGCTACCCCAAAATATGTCTCTTTGGCTTGATTGTTTTTAAGAACAAAAGACTCAGGAAGAAACTTTGACCTTCCCCCAACTGCCTAAAAGAATTTAAGATAGAAGGCCTATTCCAGGAAGGAGCTAATACCACAGTTAACTATAGTATAACATGAACTAGGGTGGTAGGCAGGGAGGAACCTAGCAAAGCCCATTTGATCAGAGTCCTCTCCCTGTCTCCGTTGTCTTTGCAAGTAGTGGCAAACATTTATTTACCAAACATTTGCTTTTCTATCTCGATGTGAATTACCTTCCTCCTCTTTGAATTTCAAAACCACTACCCTCAACATCCTCCTTTGTCTTTAGCTGAAGATGGTATTTAAGGTGATAGTTTCAGCCATTTTGGTGAGTTACTCAGTTTTTCTGGGATTCTCTCATGTATACATCTTATTAAGTTTGTTTGATTTTCTCCTGTTATTCTGTCTCACATCAATTTAGTTCTTAGATCAGCCATAAGAACCTAGAAGAGTAGAGGAATATTTCTTCCTCCCCTATAGTGTCATAAATGAACCCTATCTGTACTCCTGTGGAAGGCTTTCCACCTGTGTACTAAATCCCATTCCCCCTGACCCATGAAGCATGCTGCTCTAGCAATTCTCCCCTCTCCCTTCTGCATCATCAGTTTTCCCTTCACGCTGAATCATTCCCATCAGCATTATAAATATGCTATTATTGCTCCCATCTTAAAAAAAAAAAAAACAATTTCCCCCTCCAGCTACCACCCCATTTCTTTGCTCCTCTTTACAGAAAAACTTCTCAAAAGAGTAGTCTGTGCTTGATATATGCAATTTCTTACTCCGTCAGAATTTCATCACAACCACTATGTCAAAATTGCTTTAGTCAAGGTCGCAATAACTTCCACTTTGCTGAATTTGTCAATTCTCGGTCTTCTTCTTACCTAGCGTATCACAGCGTTTGATCCACTTGATCATTTCCTCCATTGTGAGACACTCTGTGTGGCCTCTAGGATAACACACTCTCCTGGTCTCTCTCCTACTGCATTGATCACTCATCCTAGTTTCCTTTGCTGGTTTCCCCTCATCTCATCCTTTTCACGTGAGAGTGCCCCAAGAATGAGAATATGGCTACATGCAAAAAGTATTTTGATGAAGGAAAGATCTGAGTTCCAAATTCCTCTTGCAGAGGAAAGATTCTGTGGAAGGCTGTAGCGAAGGGGCTTGTGGAGAGCTGAAGGTTCACTCTGAGGGGTGAGGAGAAGCAGACGCCAATGCAGAGATCATATAAGATGCTGCTGAACACATTCTTTTCCTATTTGAGAGTTCTTTCCAGGCGTGTCAAAAATGCACCCAACATGGGTCCATTCTAGTAATAGTAATGAAAACCATTTGTGGGGCAAGAGGGTGGAGAGGGGTTAATACATTCCAGGCACAGTGCCAAGGACTTTGTGTACACATTTAATCTTCACAACAACTGTATGAATTAGGCACTATAATGACCATTTTACAGATGATAAAACTGAGGAGTAAAGATGCCATGTAGCTCACCAGTTTATAAAATTAATAAATTATGGAACTAGAATTTGTCCTTGGGTGTGTTTAACTCCAAAACCTGTGAGGTAAACCACAAGAATCTACTGCCTTAGTAAAAGGTACTATAAGATTTAAAAAATTTCTCCCTGAGTTCCCACATGAGGGAGTGCATTATAGGGTTTAGCGTTGGCACTGTATCGCAAGTCTTTGGAGTAAGGCACTGTGCCATTCCAGAGTGGTTGTGTTTTTGTGTTGGTGGTGGTGTTTTCTTCCTTCCAAGTACAAGGATGCTATAAAGCGCCAACACCTAACAGCCAGCCTGTATAAATCTCCATGCGGCATTTGGATTAGGCAATATACATAGATAGGTCTGTAGAGCTCCTTACCCTTTGACCTATTAAGTATGCCCAAGGTAATGGCTCCTTACCGTTTTAACCCACCAGGGGGCACAAAAGGACTTTTGTATGAGCAGAGCCCTTCTCCTTTGCCCTGTGGTGTGACAGATGGTGGAAGAATAGTCAGCCTCAAGTAAGCTCTCAGAGGGCACCATGGGATTAGGAAAATCATCTGAGCTCTGGTTCCAACATTTTTAGCTGTGGGATGCGATAACCTCCCCTCTCTGAGAATCACTTATCCAATCTGTAGTGTGAGAGGAGATTGGAGTAGACCAATGGTGCTAAACCTTGGAAACATTAGAACTACCCACACATAAAAGCTTTTTAAAAAAATACAGATGCCTGGGCCCACCTCCAGAAATAGTGATTTAATTGGTCTGAGATGAAGCCTGATTATCTGAATATTTTAAAAGTTCTCTGGGTGATTTGGATGGTTAGCCAAGGGTTGAGCACTACTGGTCTAGGGCAACACTGGTTTTGAATCTCAGAACCACCACTTACTAGCTATGTGACCTTGGGCAAGTTATTTAACCTCTCTGAGCCTCAGTGTATCCACCCGTAAAGACACCTAACAATGTCCACATTGTAGGGTGGTTGTAAGGATTTGAAATATCAAATCCCAAGTATCTGGCTTTAATAAAGAGTGCCATATTATTGCACCTCACAAGAGGAAAAGAATCAAATGATATAATTTAGTCAATAAATAGCCATGGATGTGTATAATGTGCCAGGGACTGTGGTGGGTTCTGAATTCTTCTACAATCCTGCTTAAGGGAAAGCTTTTTTTCTAGATATAAGCAGTCTACCACTTGGTGTTTTATGCAGAAGGTTTTTGGTTTTGCTTCTATTTTGGGGGTAGGAAGGAGACTCTCAAAGAAAGCATGCTTTAGATACATTTCTGTGGCAGCCGTGAGGCACACCAATCAGATCTCCCTTAGCTGGCTGACAGCCTCCAGATGCTGCACCTTCAGGATCCACCACAGTGTGGATGTTGAGACCACGCTCTCCGCAGGCTGCTCTTAGCCACTGACTGAGCACAGCAGAGGTACTAGATTTGAGACCTTTCTGCCCAAAGTGGAACTCCACTATTGGAAGTCTTTAATAGAGCACTCTGCTTTGACTTAACCAAGGCTTTTTCAGAATTGCCCGCTAGTCTAGAGCTGATCCTTCCTTTCTTCTCTCTCTCCTTTCATAGATGTCAGATTGGCATCTTGGTCTTGAAGCTCTCCCTGCTTACTCCTACTCCATCTCACCTTTATTCTTTACAGGCTTTTCCCCCAATAAATCTCTTGAATGTCCAATTCTGTCTTCATGTCTGCTTCTTGGGGGGCCTAAACTGACACAATTTCTTTAACCATCAAGTTACTTTTTAATCTTTAATAAAAATAAGCCAATTTTTAGTCTTAAGAATCTCCATCAACCACAACATGAAATTTAAAAGAAAACTATTTACCTTGAGGTGTCATACCTTTGAAATATTGGGCTTTCAGTTAGCAATTTTCCATGGTACAATTCACTCTTAAACCCTTCTAACACACTTTAAGATCTCAGACTTGAAATGGAAACTGCCTTTGAGAAGTATTGTCAAATGGCTGAGTTTTGTTGCTCAGATTAACTTGTACTTTTCACTTTCGATTTGAGCCAGTGCCCACCGGCCAAGAATAATCCAACAGCCCCTGCTAGAAAGATGAGGAAATGACTCATTTTGAAAGGAGAGAGGTGAGGATGACTGAAGAGTATATGACTGAGTCAAATTCCTTCCAACTTATTGGGAAAGTTTTTTTTAATCTGTGATTAATTTTAAAATTATAAAAATAATAGATGTACATTATGGAATATTTAGAAGGTACAAAAAAGTATAATGAGGTAGAAAAAATTACCAATACAGCTACTCCCTAGAAGGGTATTCTGTCAAAACTTTGATATGTACTTTCATATAGTTCTTCAGCTACACCATATGTATAGTTTTATATGCTTCATTTTTCACATTAGACATGGCATGAGTATTTTCCTATTTTATCTAAAAAATTTGGAGAGTGACATCAGCATCATGGTGAAGTGAGCTCTTCCCTTAGTCTACTCCACAAGATATAATGAAAAAGACATTCATAAACCAACAGAGGACATTCACACAACACAAGAGACGTTTGAGAGATCCACGCACCCATACGTCTGAAGGTGGGGGTGCTGGACCCCCCAGGAGGCATTGGAAGGAAGTAAGCGGATCTCGTTTCCCACCCCAGCAGCAGCAATCTAGGGTGTGGGACCTTGCGTGGCAACTAGTGCACAACTCTGAGAGGAGAAGGAGGAAAAGGCAGCCCTCCATGGAAATGTTTTTGCTCTTGGAGTTGCCTCCTAGACTGTGGGAATGCTCCACGTCAAGGAAGCTAAGCAACTGTGGGGTCGCCCTCACCAAGCCAAGCAGCCCAGGCGGGAAACCAGTGAGTGCAGAGCG